GGAAAAAGACTGGAACGGGGATCTCGACGGGGTCTGCTGCTGCCTACACCAACGTCAGTTAGTTGACTTTTATGGCACGTAATTTGCAATTGGCAAAACCAAGTCCAAGACATCCAAGACGTTGTCGACAGCGTCGACAATAAATGTGGAGAGCTGCCTGTGCCCCACACATACTCGCATTGCAGGCAAAACTTTTCACTTTTCATTTTGCGCTTTTCCATCCAACGCCGCCGGCATCGCCATTTGCAAGGGCCCATCAAGCCAGGCACGCGGTACGTGCCTCTTGAGTATTTTTTGGCCTGTTGGCCTATTAAGTCCCTGGCCTGGCCTGCCCTGGCCTGGCCCATAGGGTTCTTGCATTTACTTGGCTGCTGGCCAAAGTCTAAGCTTAATGCAGGCAGGCCTACTGCCTACTGCTAGGAAAAACCCCCCTTTCGGCCATTCGCTTAATGGCCAATCTATGCGCGGCGACCCATTTATCGCGAATATTGCGCATACGCCCTGACTACGCTGACTCTGAATCAAGACCAACAACATGACTAATCGGAAATTAAGCCGAAATGTAACATTTGGCACGTGAATCGTTCAAAAACTATGCGAAAACAACAACTATAACCAAATATGCCAACTATTTGTATTCTCTCTTTTTTTTCACGATTTTGCCAAAATAAAAATAAAGAAAAACAACAACAACCTACGGCAAAAATATGTTTGCAAATTAGGAGAAACTCTCATATTTTTGAGGCTACCAACACTGGTGGCCGGGAGATGAAACCGAAACTGAAACTGAATATATAACAAAAGGCACTTGTCTGGGTGAAATTTTCACTAGATATTCAAATGAACAACAAATGTGGCGGCAGCTGCTGTGGATTGGATGTTGCCTGAACAAACAACCAACACACAAAAAAACGGAAACCGTTAAAGCCACACAACAACAACAACAGCAGCAACAACAACAGCATTAAGAAACGTTAGTTTTGGAGTCGCTTTCAAATTGTACAAATTGTTGTTGGTGGTGGTGCTGCTGCTGGTGATGGTGCCTGTATTGGTATTGGGTCCCCACCGCCTCCATTAATGAGGCGTGCTCCGTTGTTTACCCCACTTGAAAGCGACTTCAACGACGACGCAGACGACGACGACGCTGTTGAAGATCAATGGATTGTACGACTGCCCAAGCCAAAGCCAAAACCAAGACCAAGAGCAAAGCTGCCTGCTGGTATTGGTGCTGTTGGTCTACCACTTTCGTTGTTACTGTTGTTGACTTTGAGCCGCCAAAGCTTTGAGCGATTTTTCATTGGAATAGAAAGTGAATTGAATTCGTTTTCGCTGCTATTTCTCTCCGTTCCATTGCTCTTGAGCAGCACCACAGCACCATCTCCAACGCTCTCGTCTTCATTTGGGTGCTGCTGGTTGTTTACTCTGAAAACACCACGATCACGATCAAACGGAAAGCGAGGAAGAGTCATACACCAGATGATGCTGCTGTGGAGACAGCTATCTTCCGAAAATTGGACCATGTCATTGACCTTTTGGGCTGCCCGAAAGCAGTGAGAGTGCCGTGCCAATGGTTGTTTATCTTTCGGTTTAACTCGTTGTTATAGTTGTTGTTTTCGAATTTATTGTTTGTCCAAGGGAAACCACAAGCGCAAACGAGAAGCTTTTTCTGGTTGCTCATGGATTTTACTCGAATGCAATTATAGAGTTCAATTTAAAAAGGATCTGCACTTGGGTCTAATCTCTCAGATAGTTCTTGAACTTTAAAGGTGTTTTTAGCTGGCATTTATTTCTTTTTTTTTAAGAATTTTCTAATTTTTCTTTAAGTCTGGGATATGATTTTTGGAAACCAAACTAAAAACTGTTTTGCCTAATTTATAATTTGATTTTTAGACCATATCTTTGATTTTTATTTATTTTTTATTTATTTATTATTTTTTGTTTTAATTGGTATTATTGTAATTATTATTGTATTATTGTATTTTTTGTAACAACTATCAGAAACAATAAAGAAAACAATTACTTAACCTACTGTTACTGAACGTATCCTTGATGATTTTCAGAACTCCTTCGATATTCTAATTTCCACAGGAAAATCCACTTGATTACATATATAAACGATCTTCAGAGATCTTCATTTGGCATCCGTTTGTCGCTTTCTATTTTGTAGGGGGTCTTCTAGCATTTTCCAATACGGCATCATCCAGGCAGGGGCTGCACTCCGCTGAGTCGATTTCTTTTACAAAATGTGTAAATTAAACACAGGGCAAAAGCAGCGGCAGCAGCAGCAGCAGCGGCGGCAACAGGCCAATGAGTTTATTCACCTTTCGCCTAATTATCAAAATACATAAACGAAATGTACCAAAAAGAAGATACTCGCACATATGTACAGTATACACATATGTATGTATATCGGCGAGGCTACAAGAGGCTTCGTGCAAAAGCTCCGGTCAGGCCGATGACGAAGACATCGACATCGACTCGACAACTTCAATGAAATCAATTTTACGATAATAATTTTTTGAAAGCCCCCCCCAAAATATACTCGGGCGGAGAGAAAGAGGCCTGTGAATGTGAAGCCCTGTCGCTTCATAAACATTGAATCAGTCCCAGGCACGGCACCAGCCCATGTACCGTTGGAAATTTCTTGCTTTTTCTTTTCTCAGCCTTTGGATGTGTACGGTCATGTGTGCATGTGTGTGTGTTTGTATCTTTAGGAGTATTAAATTGTTTTGTATGTATTTTGTTGTTTTTTTTTTGTCGCTGGTATTGTCTTGACGAAATGTAGGTCAAGTTATAACGTGAGAGAGTGTGTGGGGCCAGTGCCGTGCCGTGGCTGTGGCTGTGGCTGGTGGGACGAAACGGTCGCGTCGTCTCGTACCCCCTGGCAGATCAGGGAATCGAGTCTCCCGTCATCCCATCCAGCCCAGCCTCTGGCTGACTGGGATTCAGAGTTGGCGTCAAAGTCACAGACAGATCGTCAGACGCAGTCCAGGCTGTGGCAGTATTTTCTAGTAGCTGCCTCCCCAGTCAACTTTCACTTAGAAAGTTCTGCTTGCGGTTATGCCGAATCGAATCGCTTTTTGGTTGCTTATGTGCCGCCGCTTTGAGTCAGTCTGTGTGAGTGTGTGTGGATGTAAGTGATATGAATGAATATCCAGCAACCAGTTAACTGGGTCAACTCGTGTGGGCCTGGGAATACGTACCTACGTATCTATCTGTCTGATCTGCGATAATCATCGATCGATGGAGATCGATGGCGATTGAGATGAGATGATCATTTAATTGCATTTTCAATGCTGCCTGGGAAAGCTTTCCGTTAGGCGACGTCATCGTCAGCAGAGCAACCTTGGCGATCAGCTGACAGCCGCCGAGCGGCTGGCTCCGAGTGCGAGTGGATTTCCCTGAACTTCATACTGAAAAGCTAAGCTAATGTGTCTGTGTGTCTGTGTGTGTCTATTAATAGCGCATGCATGCTGCTCGCATATCCGCATCGTCTGGCTGGCTCTCTCGCTCTCTAAGTTTTCCTCTCGCTCTCTCTCTCTCTCTCTCTGTGTGTGCTGTATTCGAGTGTACTTCCTGCTGGAAAAACTTGCTGATCAGCCACTGAGAGCGAATCGAGAGCTTTTGCTCTCCGTCTGCCTTGCTCTCAGGCTGCTGCTCTGTGCTCTCAGAATGCCAATGCAGTTCGTTCTCAGTTGTTGTTCTTGTTTGCTGGGGCTGTTGCTGTGCTATTATTGACCTAATCACTTGTGGAGCACAAACGAACATTGAACTTTTACTTCCGCATTAGCACTGCACTGCACTGCATATAGCTTATTGCATTTTCCGTAGCACAGGAGATTCTCCGCTCTCATCGGGCCCTGGCTTTCCCCAATCTTTATTGAACATTTTTGCCAGTCCAGCCAGGCGTCGGCGACCGACCGCCCGCCCAGTGACATTAATTAATGCCCACAGATTCATCAAATATGCGCTGGCCGTTTGGAAAATCATATTTTATGCGCCCCCCGGCAGTAATTTGTCGTCCAGGGCAGGGCCCCCAGAGCGAGACAAAAACGGAGATAGAGACAGAGAGAGAGAGAGAGAGAGAGAGAGATCTCTAAAGAGAGCAAGAGAGACGTGAGACAGAGGGTGGGCCGCCTGGAAAATCTTGTAATTTAATGCGACAATTTTGTACGCCTGTGGCAGTGGCGACCCGACCGGACCTGGAGGACCAGCAGCCAGCCAGCAGCCACGCCACCACATGGGATGGGCTTTCAATAAAAAATGCATTAGAAATTTTCAGTTTTAAATATGTTTTTTTTTTAATATTATATTTGTATGGGTGTTTGTGAGTGTCTGAATGGGGGGTATTGGGCATTGGGGGGGTATTGGGATGCTTGTCGAATGTGTAGATATATAAATAGCTTAATATGCTTACGATCTAAACAAAATTGTTGTGCTTCATATTCTTCTCCTCCATTCCTCCTCACACGAAACGTACAAAATATTCAAAACAAAAAATCGAGCAAGATAATGCATGAGAAACGTACCAAAAATGAACATTAAAAATTGTTTGCAATAAATAATAATAAAATAGTTTAAACAAATGAAGCTTGCTCTTGAAATATGACACTAAATTTAATACTTTTTGCATAGTTTTTCCATATTGAAGCAACACATACAAGTATAACCGATGAATATATATATATGTAGATTCGTGTATATATAACATATATGGGTGATATGGTAGGATAGACGGTTCTCCCGTTTGTGTGTGTGTGTTTTTTGTTGTTTTGTTTGTTTGTTGTTGTGAACATCAATGAACAATATTTTGTATTAAATAATATGATAATAAATAGTTAATATAATAGTAATGGTAATTATACAAAAAAAAACTACATAAATACAAAAGTTCAAAGTTCTGTGGATCCCGACATCCCACCGCGAAGGCCGTACTTTCTCCGGCGCCGACAGCTGGAAGTCTCCTCGCGGCCACGCACGCGTAACCAGCGCGCGCCCCCAATCATGCCCAGAATTGTTTGAATAAGGCAAAGGCGGTATCGGGGTTCTGGTTGCTGTTGCTGTTGATGTTGTGTGGGGATGGATGTTGTGATCCTTAGTACTGCCCGGTGGGATCTAGGCAGTCCTGACGCCGTTTCTGGCGCGTGTCTTTTGTGTCGCGTGGTCGACGGTAGGTTCCTGTGGGATCCAGCATTTTGTCTGATTTTCTATAGCTCTTCTTCTGCGCACCTAAACGGTTTTCTTTCTTTGCTGTACAGCCAGTTATCTGTTGGCTGGATATAGAGATGGGTTGCGTTAACCTTGTGGCTTAGTAGGTGCCAGTGGGATCCAAAGCGAGCGACATTTTGAGTTTGATATAATGATATTTAAACGAGATAGATAATATTGGTAGCTCTATCTTTTGATAGCTCTGTGATGGTGCTCTGCTTCAGTATTGACCAGTGGGATCCAGATAGGCAGCCATGGTAATTTCTTGGTATTTTGTACGGGGAGAGAGTGATATAATTGTGCAGATTTTTCAGCTGGTCGATAGCTGTTGGCTTTTGGACTGTGTTCTTGCTACTCCTGCGCTCAGTACTGGCCAGTGGGATCCAAGTAGGCTGCCATTTGTATGCCGTGTATGTACCAAAAATACTTGAATGACAAACCGAAGTCGTTGTTGTTGTTTCCGCTGGTATCTGCGCTGCTTCTGCTGTGCTGTGCTGTGCTGTGCTCCTCCTTTGTTTAATTTAAATCAACCTTATGTTGCCTGCTTATATACCAATATATACCATTTATATTGAACTTTATACTGGTTCTCTTGGCGTGGACTTCGCTGTTGTTGTAAGTTCTTTTATTATCACCAACAGTGGATGTTGTCGTTGTCGTTGTAGTTGTCGCTGGGTTTCTTGGCTGATTATACAGCGTCGCGTGTGTGTGTGTGTTTTAGCTCTTTTTTTGTTATTGTTGTTGGTCTATAGTTTTTGTGTGGAAGAGTCACTGACACTTAAAATCCATTAAATACTTTTGTTGGATTGTCTTTATTGTTTATTAATAAGCGGCTGACTGCCTTTTTTGATTGTTTGTTTGGTGGCTTTTAAAACCGGGCAAAAAGGTCGCAGCGACGCGTGTTTCACGTTTAAAGTTGGTTAGAAAAATTTAACTACAATTCAATTCAATTTATTTGAAAAGAATTCTTTTACTTTTGCTGAACGTTACGTGAAAATCTGCGAATTCTGTAGGCTGTTTGTGGCTGCCTGTGGCTCTTGCTGCTGCGATTACTGCCGGAGCTGGATGATCTTGCACTCTCGAACGTTGTCGATATTTTGATTTGATTTTCGTCGAGCCGTAAGCTTAAATGCTCGACGGCTGGCGACGACGACGACGCCGACGACGTCAGCAGCGCACGGAGAGCGCGAGCAGCGGCAGAAAGAATCAGCCGTGGAGAGAGCGAGTGCAAAAGAGAGCGATAGCTGGCAGGTGCGTTGCTCTTAGTTTGTGCTCTTAGCAGATCGCTTGCCGGAGAGAGCGAGCCAGCAAGAGAGCATTCGGACGTTTTCATTCATGTGACCAGGTGAGATAGCTGGAGAGAGGGAGAACTAGAGCCGAGCCGAGCAGAGCCGCGTAGCATCGCTCTTCGTACCTTCGCTCCACACACACACACAGACACACGCGCTCACACCCACTTGGATTTCATTCAAGAAACAGCTGTTCTGCTCGAACTGCGACACGATCGAGTGCCCTCGTTATTCTCTTGCCGATGTGTGTGTGTGTGTTTGTGTGTTCTCCGATCTTCCTTTGGGCGTTTTGTGTCTGTGTGTGTGCTGCGATCCTACTTCACGAGTTCGCATCTACCTTTCGCCTGAGCAGGTAGTCCTTCTCGCCCATTGGTGCTCCCGCTTGACGTTTACGATCCTGAGGTGCACAGGCGGAGGCACAGCCGGAGGCTCCACCCACATTTGGGTCTTGGCTAATTGATGTCCCTCTTTCCTCTCCTCTCCTCGCCAGGCCATGACTGTGCCAAATGCGCTTAGCTCGGGCCAAACAAGTAGCCAGGCAAATACTAGACATGCTAGCCCCGGATTTACACTGTCGCCGCTGCTCAAACAGAACCAGGTGAATCCTTGCCAAAAATGCTAATATCCTTATGTGGCATAAGTCCCAAAATTAATGGTCTTTGAGCCGGCGGCGCGACGGCCACTGCCCACTTTACGTGACATTTGTGGTAGCCTAAGCCTGAGGGCCTGAGGACTCAAACGGCTTAAGCCGCAACTGCCAACTCATAAAAAGGATAAACGCTCGGCATGAGTCAGCAGGCGGCGGCAACAGCGACGGCGACGGATGCTTCCGCGAAATGCGACACCAGAGGCAGTCAGTTCCAGCCCAGCCCAGCCCAGCCAGAAGCATCGACATAATCGGCAACAAAAAACTTCTCGAAAATGTGGCAGAATTTGCCAGTTTTTAGCCTAAAATTGGCATGCGTATGCGGAGACGGACACAGAAACAGACCTGAGGTGTGCGACAAGTCAGCTGGCTGCTGAGGGCGACAGACGGCGGGCGGGACCGATTACAAGATGTGTCATCTGCAGCACAATGGGAAATATAAATCCTTTCGTTTTATTACAGAGACGTAAAAAACTCAGAGCAGGACTTCCGGCACAGACACAAACGATTCGATTCGATTCGAGGAGCGGCGCGAGCTACGCTACCAACCCTTTGGCACGGGTCTGCCCAGCCTTTGGCTGGTATCACCTTGAGGGCACTCGATCCTGTAAGATGATCGGCACAAGCCTTTGGCACGGGCCTGCTGAGGGGAAGAAGGCTGGGGGGATGTCACTCCAAAATATGTCGCATCTGAAAAAACATCTTCTATTATGAACAGAGAGATCTAAGACCTTGAAAACTCACTAGCTATTCCATCTAGATTCCATCTTCCAACTGTTTGCTCTTAGCTATATTTATTTTCCATGAAAGGAAGCCAAATGCAAGTCCCATCTTCTCTATAAGTCTATATGCAGTGCAGTTCCGTTAATCTAGTCGTATTTGTCTTACCTGGCGTGGGATTTTGGGATCCCTATCCCCCCCCAGCGAGCTGTACCTTTCGGGGCTACGCTACGCTACCCCGGATGCGAGCCATCCTCGCTGCATTTTGGCGCTTCCGCTTTGCATTTTCACTTTTCAAACAGTTTTGCTTTTTATCGAATTCGTTATGCATCGTTTGGGTTTTCATTTTCATTTTCCTTTCCGCTTTGCACCTTTTGTCCCGGCCACGTGCCACAGCCAACATTTGTTGGCACAACTGTCAGAGTTGTTCGGGCAGGGCAGTCTCCTACTCTCTGGGGCTCTCCATTTATCAGTAGTCACTTTCCCTGCCACCTTTGCTTAGTAATTCGATCAATTCAATTCTTCCCGGAGGGGGAGCCTAGACGGCTGCTGCTTACATGGGTTTACTTATACTTATGCAATGTTTGCCGAGGGCCCAAACCTCCAAATAGCAGACAGAATAAAAAAAAAACCGAAACGGTCTTGGAAATTTTTTATAAATTTGGGTCAATGTTCCGAAATTTGGCTATGTCTTGTGTATTTCGATTTGTGCACACTTAACAGTATTTTTTCCGCTGACTTTTGTCGCTCTTGGACTTGGCCATGCAATGCTGCACTTTTTCTTGCCAATTTTCTGTTTGTTTTTCATAAATTGCAATGCCAGAAACTTGTTATTGTTGGTGCCTAGAGCTTGTGGAATGGTTGTTGCTGCCGTGCTCACAGTCTCAGCCGTCGTGCTATTGGGCTTGGACTTGCTCTTGGCGTCTGCTTCACTGCCACTGCCACTCCACCCAAGCCCAACTGGCTCCTCCACTCCTGACCGCTTGACACTTGTAATTAGCTCCACGCGGTGCAAACTTAGCAGAGTTAACTGCCAGTCGTCGATCCAGTTGACCCACATAGTTGGCTGGATCTTTCAGACTGGAACTTTTGTTGCTAAACGAAGATGTATCTAGAGATGTGGCTATAAGGCATCTATCCAATGTAAGAAAGTTCTCTTAATATTTATACATTTTACGGAATTAATTCCCCTATGAAGGATTCTTCATCTTTGTTCTTACTGAATCAGGATATATAATTTATAAACTCTAGCATTACCATTCAATAATACAATTCCTAGTAAAATAAAGAATTTTACTCGTAGATATTTTTGAAATTTCATATTATTATTTGATATCTTCTATAGAATATTTATTTTTACTTTATTTATATTATAATCAAGTTGTACCTTACAGTATTGTATTGTATTTATTTTGATTTTTTCCTAGTGCTACAAGTAAAACTTATTTTTAATGTACTAATCACAGAAGACTTAAAGTTAAGATTACAATATTTAATCTTATTTCTAATCAATACATCAAGATTAATTTATTTTAATTGTATTTGTTGTTGTTGTTTTTACTGCTTCTTTTTAGTATTTATTTATATATATTTTTTATTTTAATTTGTTTTTTCCTAAATTGCGATGGGTTACTTAATGACTTTACATGATTCATGATAAGCTGATTCCATATGCGAATTGAATTTATAAAATATTGCCGTTCTGAATTCAATGATGTCCGCTTGTGTCTACTCCTAGAGTCGCAAAGTCCTTCAGATTTCTACTAATACCTAAATACTGAAAAGGGGAAATATATTTAAATAAAAAATATTTAAATTAAATATTTGGCTTTCTGTAATGAATCTGAAAAATCTTTTAAGTTCTTTGTATTCTTGTATGTTTGTATTTCTTCCGGAGTTCTCTCACTTCTTATCAGTTAGTTCTGCCCGAGAACATTCTAGAGTAAGTCAGTTAAGGATTCGAAGCCATTTCCCATTTGCAACAATCGTTGTGATCCACGTGCTCGCGCAACAGTATAAATTACTATGTGAACTTTTACTCCAGATTTGGTCAGAGAATTAAATCAAGTAAACGTGACTGTGATGGAACTTTTCTTTGATTGCCAAACACCCGCAGCATCCGAATTGCCATCCGAATGGAAGCAGACCCCAGGCCCAGTCCCCAGTCAGTCCCCAGTGCCAGTCGCCAGTGCCAGTGCCCGTCCCAGTACCCAGTAGCAGTCCACGTTCTCAGTTCTCAGTTCGGCCTGTCCACGTATTTCGCTTGTAATGACTGGAGAATATGCTAAATATCTCTATCTGAGAACTGAATATGGTAAACACCGCCTCTAGATTGGTTCATAACAGACGCACTGGCGTTGACGTAGCAAACGAATGCAAATCGCTTGTCAGTCTGTCAGTCTGTCGCCCTGTCATTCTGTCTTTCTGTCTTTCAGCCAACGGCAATTGCCGAAACTCAATGAAAGTGCTGGCCAGGATATTAGGTAAGTGTGTGGGGGGCATTACCCGTTAATGGCACCAATATGAGCCGCCAAAGTACATAAGAATCTGCATATGTCCATGCAGATGTGGATGGATATGGATGGATATATGGAATGCTGATCATTACACACAGCGGTCAAACGGTCATTGGCCTGCTTGCGTATCAGCAGCTCGATCCCCAGCTCGATCTCATCGCGTATCTTGCAGATATTCCTCATGTATCTATAGCAAGCAGCTGATACTGATGCTGCTGCTGCTGCTGTTGCTGCTGCTGTTGCTGCTGCTGGATGGCACGTAAGCGGTCTTGGCATCTTTCACCATGTGTTGGCGCAGCTTACGCAAAATTATTTATGAAAAACAGAGCCAGCCGGTAACAAGAAATACAACAACTCCGATTCTCTGCTATCACTCAGAGCCGCTGTGCCTGTGCCTGTGCCCAGGCTTTGGCTATGGAAATCGCGCGGCCAGCCACGACAACAACTTCGCTGGAACAACGTCTGTGGAAATTCAGCATCGATTTGCATGTATGACAAGCGGCGAACCGAACGGATTATAATTATCGCGTTTGCCACTTGCACCGGCCGCGGCCGTCCTCCTCAGATACAAATGTATCTCAGAGTGCGTATCGCTTGCATGCCAAACTATGAACCTTGTCCGCGCTCCCATAACAGCTCTGTTATTGGCTTAATAATTTATCCGGGCGCCCCAGTCAATGGCCATTAGATCAATGCACAGAATCGGATGCATAACAAAGGTGCCGCATTCTGCGCACAAGGAAGGAGGGGCAGGGGAGGGGAGGGGTGGTACAAGTTTAAGGGACTGTTTTGGGCTGGGGGGTGTGGAAAAGCCAAGCCAGATGACAAATCAATCTGTTTGCAATCAAACGCGAGACTGCCCCATGGCGCTGTCGCGATTTTCACCCAATAAGGAAGCAAAGCAAACAACAACCA